CTGAGACACCTTTGAATAGTGAAGGGCGGGGTATAAATCCAATCTCTTCTTCTTTTACCTCACAGGGTGTCTGTGGTGGGGAGGGGAAGGGAAACGAGTTTGTAAGCCGCTCTGAGACACCTTTGGGTAGTGAAGGGCGGGATATAAATCCAATCTCTTCTTCTTCTTTTACCTCAGAGGGTGTCTGCTGTGGGTAAGGGAAGGAAAAGGAGTTTGTAAGCCGCTCTGAGACACCTTTGGGTAGTGAAGGGCGGGATATAAATCCAATCTCTTCTTCTTCTTTTACCTCAGAGGGTGTCTGCTGTGGGTAAGGGAAGGAAAAGGTGTTTGTAAACCGCTCTGAGACACCTTTGGGTAGTGAAGGGCGGGATATAAATCCAATCTCTTCTTCTTCTTCTTCTGAGCAGAGTATGGTGGAAAGTTTCATCAAAAATGGAAGAGGAGAAAGATATCCCAATCCAAAACCAAGCCAGGAAGACACTAAAGTTACAGTAGTTTCTTCCTTGCTTGCTTTAGGAAAGTACTGCCAAGTCACAGCCAACTTCTGCTGACCCCGTAGGCCAGAGACAGACAAATGTGGTTCGCTGTTGTCTGTCTCTGCGGAGTGACCCTGGATTTCCTTGGTGGCCTCCCGTATGAGTACTAGCCTGGGCTGACCCTCCTTCGTTTCCACGATCTGACAAGATCAAGTTGCCTGGGCACAGTCGTGTTCATCCATCTGGTGACTTCATGTATAGCTCGGGGAGAAAAAAATATATATATTTTTCAGTACTTCCAAACTCGGACAGCATAGCTGATGCCTGCTGTAATACTGGCTGTATAAATGTTAATTGCTGGCAAGATCGATTTACTTCCTTGATCCCCTCACCTCTCTGTCAGATGGACACAGTTGTCAAACCTAGCTTTTCGAAAGTGTCCAGACTGCCTGGGGCTCAGCAGACGAGTTCACGGAACCATAAGGACATCAGAGAAGCCAATGTTGGATCAGGCCAAAGGCCCATCCAGTCCAACACTCTGTATCACACAGTGGCCAAAAATACCAGGTGCCATCAGGAGGTCCAGCAGTGGGGCCAGGAAACTAGGAGCCCTCCCATTGTCATCCCCCCCCCCAAGCACCAAGAAGACAGAGCATCACTTGCCCCCGACTGAGAGTTTCTATCTATACCTTGTGGCTAATAGGCACTGATGGACTTCTGCTCCAGATGTTTATGTTGAAGCCGTCCATGCTTGTAGCCGCCACCACCTCCTGTGGCAATGAAATCCATGTGTTAATCACTCTTTGGGTGAAGAAGGACTTCCTTTTATCTGTTCTAACCTGACTGCTGAGCACCCTTTGGGTTCGAAAGACAGCTCAGACTGCCTTAATATTATGTTCTTTTTCAATACAAAAAAAGGAGGGGGGCTTCTCCACTCAGCCCTTATGGGTGAGCGGAGCTCATTCTGAAATTCTCTCTCCACCTCTGCAGGTTTCATGCAGTTCATTCAGTCCGTCCCCGTCGCAGAAGTCCTTGCTACCGAGGAAAGCATACAGGTGGGTGTCTCGAAATGGGTGCCCTGGCTGTTGCGGGAGCAGGAGGTGCCCCGGCTTAGTGGTGGAGCGTGTGTCTGCATGCACAAGTCCAGGTGTGTTGGGGACAGAGCTTTGGTCTCCCTGGGACCCTTGGTGGACTGTTGACCATCAGAAAGGTTGATGCTGAGGCGATGGGTTGGACCAATGGTCTGACTTGCTACAGGACAGCTTAATGGGAGTTACCTTCTTGGTTTATAGGGGTTCTTCTGATGCAGTTTCCAGTCTGTTGCTTGCTTTGATTGGCAGGGTATCAATACATATATATTTCATTTGTCTATGAAAGCATTTATCGCCCCCCTTTCCTTGTGGATCCAGGTGGAGTACAACAACAGTTAAAAAAAGACATCAAAAATACGCAGGGCATACACCTCAAGGTCACAGTGAGAGCACTGAAAGCTAATTAGATCTTTATTTAAAAGCTTGGGCGACTCGAACGGACACAGCCCGCTATCAGAATTACTGTAAGTTGCCAGGCAAGCATGATTAAGAACCTAAGAAGAGCTCTGCTGGATCAGACCAGTGGTCCATCTAGTCCAGCATCCTGTCTCACACAGTGGCCAACCAGTTCCTCTGTACGGCCAACAACAGTACACAGAGGCCGAAGCCTTCCCCTGATAAGAAAATAAGAAGAGCTCTGCTGGATCAGACCAATAGTCCTTAGTCCAGCATTCCTATCTCATACAGGCCATTACCTCGTGTGGCCTCCTGGCTCTGAGATTCAGAAGCTTAGTGCCTCTGAACATGGAGGTTCCCCTTAGCCACCATGACTAGTAGCCATTAATAGATTGATCCTCCATGAATCTGTTTAATCCCTTTTTAAAGCTCTTTATTCCTGTTGCCACAGCTAGGGCGCCACCACTGAAAAAGGCCCTGTCTCTTCAAGCTGCCAGAACTTCTGAAGATTTCCCTCCCCCCTAAAGTGAACAACTTGGTGGGTGATGTCAGTGCGTGGACAGGCTCCTCCCGTGCAAAACTGCCCATCAGTTTAGATAAGAACATCAGAGGACCCCTGCTGGATCAGACCAGTGAGGGTCCACCTAGTCCAGCATCCTGTCTCACACAGGGGCCAACCAGTTCCTTACAGACTTTTTTTGGGATGTATGCTTCTGTCCACTCTTGGAAGCAGGATTGGTGTTGTTGTTGTTCAGTCGCACAGTCGAGTCACACTCTTCACGACCCCATGGACCAGATCACGCCAGGCCTTCCGGTCTTCCGCCGTCCTCTGAAGTTTGCTCAACTTCATGTTCATTGCATCTATGACACTGTCTCACCATCTCGTCCTTTGCCGTCCCCGTCTTCTTTGACCTTCAATCTTTCCCAGCATCAGGGTCTTCTCCAGTGAGTGCTCCCTTCTCATTGGGTGGCCAGAGTATTTGAGCTTCAGCTTCATTATCTGGCCTTCCAGGGAACAGTCAGGGTTGATTTCTTTTAGGATTGACTGATTTGCTCTTCTTGCAGTCCAAGGGACTCTCAAGAGTCTTCTCCAGCACCATAGTTCAAAAGAATCTATTCTTCGGCTATAGGATACTATACTAAATAACCATAGGGAAAAAAGCAAGAGTCCATTAGCGCCTTAAGGCGGGGTATGAGCTTCTGTGAGTCGCTGCTCACTTCAAATACTTTGTGAGCAGTGGAGCAGTCTGCCTCGGGAGGTGGTGGGTGTTCCTTCGCTGGATGTTTTCAAGTGGAGGCTGGATGACCATCTTTCGGGTATGTTGTAGGGCTATCTTTCGGCTATGCTCCTGCAGAGTGCAGGGGGTTGGACTAGATGACCTGCAAGATCCCTTCCAACTCTAACAGTCTATGATTCTATGACTCACGAAAACTCCTACCCTGCCACAAAGTGTGTTAGTCTTTAAGATGCTCCTGGACTCTTGCTCTTTTTCTTTTGTAACTTTATGTATTGATTTTTAAAAACCTTTTGAAAATAACATATAGCACAATATGTTAACATGGCTCTGCGTCTTAAAATAACCATATTTACAGTAATGTTGAAATAATAGATGGAATCTCTTTCTGGGCTCTTTCTCAGTGATACTTCTAGGCCAATTCCCTGTTGGAATTCATTATAACCTCGAACGTGCATCTCCCCCCCTCCCCTCCTCCCCCTCCACCCACTGATAAAGTACATGATGGCCCATTTGCCATTTGTTTCTCATACCTTCATTCACAATTGCTTTGCATTGCTAATGTTATTTAAATTTTGCTACCCGGGCACAAAAGAAAAAAGGAAATACATCTTACTTGTGAAGCATTTAACACTCTCGGTAATTATGCAATAACTCTGCCTTTGAAGTTCCAACAAGATTGGGGGGGGGGGGGGGGGGTTTTTTCCAGGGAGAGGACCTTGAGTGTGCTGAGACGCAAAGTGATTTTAAATCTGTGCTCCAGCGGAGGTTAAGACAATCCTATCAGACGTAAACTAAGCGATGCAGTCGGCGCTAAAAAAAAAAATACGTAATGTGCTTGATTGTTCTTTAGCTTAATGTTAGCTGCCAGATTTTTGTTTTAATGGGATGTTTCTGCATTTGGCCTTGTCTGCCATCTAAGTAGCAAGATTGATACTTCTAGAGAAAGGGGGGGGTTGTTGTTGTTTTTTTGCTTGTTGCCAATGGTAATAGAGCCAGTTTGGTGTAGTGGTTAAGTGTGCGGACTCTAATCTGGGAGAACCGGGTTTGATTCCCCACTCCTCCACTTGCACCTGCTGATGTGACCTTGGGTCAGTCACAAGCTCTGGCACAGCTGTTCCTGAAAGAGCAGTTTCTGTCAGAGTTCTCTCAGCCCCACCCACCTCACAGGGTGTCTGTTGTGGGGAGGGGAAGGGAGAGGAGTTTGGAAGCCGCTCTGAGACTCCAAGTGAAGGGCGGGGTATAAATCCAATCTCTTCTCTTCTTCTTCTTCTTCTTCTAATACATTTTCACCAAAGCTTGGAAACAGAGTTTGGTTCTTCAGCCAACCCTGGAGGTTTTCAGGGACCTTTGGGGAGGGATGGTGGTCAGAAACAAACATCCCAATGTTCTTTTTCTCTCTCCTCTCAGAACTTCTTCCGGAAACACGCTCCGAGTGAAACGGGGCCCCACGGGATAAGCGCGGAGGTGATGGACACGTACGTCAAGAGCTGTGGTGAGTGACTGCTCAGGGTTGGGTCTTCCTCTTTTTCTGCTGCCGTCTGCTTTTCCTAGCATGACTCTCCTTTCCAGTGACTCCTGTCTTCTCATAATATGACCGGAGTACGATAGACTCAGTCTGGTCATTTTCACTTCTAGGGAGAGCCCGGGCTTGATTCGATCTTGAACCTACTTATTTGACTTTTTCGGCCGTCCATAGGGATGCCAGGTCCCGGGGGGGGGGCAGTGGTTCCCCCGCTCAAAGGGCCCCCAATCCGCTGGTCCAGATCTGGCTGGCGGGGGGAATCCCACCCTCAAAGTGGCCAGATCAGGCCGACGTGCTCGGCGCAATGACGTCGATCGGAGGTGATGTCATCACACTGGCCATGTCGCCGGGCGACGCTCTAGCAATCAGTCTGGAAACTCTATGGTACCATAGAGTATCATAGGGTGATTGCTAGAGCGTCGCCTGGCGATGTACCCAGCGTGATGACATCACTTCCGGGTGATGTCACTGTGGCGTGCGCTGTGGGACCACCGCTCCCCCGTTGGAACAAGTAAGTCACTTGGCAACCCTAGCGGTCCATGGTATCCGTTTAACTCTCTTCCGACACCGCATTTCAAATGAATCGACTTTCATCCCATCAGCGTTCTGTATTGTCCAACTTTCACACCCAGACCATAGAAGAGAAGAAGAGATTGGATTTATACCCCGCCCTTCACTACCCAAAGGGGTCTCAGAGCGGCTTAAAAACTCCTTTCCTTTCCCCTCCCCACAACAGACACCCTGTGAGGTAGGTGGGGCTGAGAGAGCTCTTGACAGAAACTGCTCTTTTTCAAGGACAGCTCTTATCAGAACTATAGCTTGCCCAAGGTCATCCAGCAACTGCAAGTGGAGGAGTGGGGAATCAAACCCGGTTCTCCCAGATCAGAGTCCGCGCACTTAACCACTACACCAAACTGGAGGATACCAAATTTTTCCGGTTCAGAGGAGGAATGCATTTAATTTTTGTTGGCTGATGCTATCCCAGATGAAACTCTTAAAGTGGCTACTTTTATTTTCCCATCATCAAATATCAGGAAGAAATTAATTTCGGCTGCTCTTACGAGTATTGTAGTCGAACTATAGTTATTTCACATTTTAGCATTCAGTTATTTTATTGTACCAATTCTTTCTGTATTTATATTTAAAAATTATTATGTTTATTTTATTTTGCTATGCAGGAATGTTTTAATTCTCTGTCTGGATGTCAGTTGCGTGTAGGGGGTTATTTGTTTGGGTTGTTATGGCCTACGGCTACGACAATAAATATTTTTGACTTTGACAACTGGGGAATACAATGGAGAGGAGGAGGAGGAGGAGGAGGAGGAATTATAGTCAAACTATAATTATTTCACATTTTAGCATTCAGTTGTTTTATTGTACCAATTATTTCTGTATTTATATTTAAAAATTATGTTTACTTTATTTTGCTATGCAGGAATATTTTAATTCTCTGTCTGGATGTGAGTTGCGTGTAGGGGGTTATTTGTTTGGATTGTTATGGCTTATGGCTATGACAATAAATATTTTTGACTTTGATTACTGGGGAATACAATGGGAAGAAGAAGAAGAGGAGGAGGAGGAGGAGGAATTAGATTTATACCCCGCCCTTCACTACCCAAAGGAGTCTCAGAGGGTTTACATTCTCCTTAACCACTACACCAAATTAGCCCATAGATCTTCATTTTAGGGGTCGATTCCCGCTGTGTTCTCGGGTGCCAATGTCTTCAGACTGCCATGAGAAGCCAAAGGGTTACATGACTATGTTGTGTCAACATTGATTTGTGTTGTTTCCCATAGAACGGGTGTTTGTTTCCAGGTGGGTTTGAAAACCGTGATGCACATTCCCAGTGTTCTCCCTCTGATACCGCGATCTCATTCTCCAGTGACACCTCCTTGCACTTAAAGATCTTCTCCAGCTCCTTCATGGCTACCCTTCCCAGCCTCAATCTCCTGATTTCTTGGTTGCAGCCTCCCTTTTGGTAGATGATGGAGCCGAGGAATGCACAGTACAATTTTACGTAGAGTCGTTGCCAGCGGGTGATGTAGTTGGAGAATGAGGCTGCATCTTCCCACTGTTAGATTTCACACTATTTCAGTCACACACAACTGCAATTTCTTGCAGGGTGGAACAGTAGTGCAATCGTCAGCGATGTGTGGAAGCAACTTGAAACTGCATTGGTTGTTTTGTGGAAGTATTTAATGTGGAAGTGTCTAATGTGGACGTATTTAATGGGATTTGGTGTAGTGGTTATGTGTGCGGACTCTGGGAGAACGGGGTTTGGTTCCCCACTCCTCCACTCACAGCTTCTGGGTGACTTTGGGCAAGCCATAATTCTGTCAGGGCTGTTCTTGAAAAGAGCAGTTTCTGTTCAGAGCTCTCTCAGCCCCACCTACCTCACAGGGTGTCTGTTGTGCAGAGGGGGAGGCGTTTGTAAGCCGCTCTGAGACTCCTTTGGGTAGTGAAGGGTGGGGTATAAATCCAACCTCTTCTTCTTCTTGAGCCTGTGGGCACCTTAAGAATTCTGACACAGCAGGGCACTCACAAAATGGCGGCCACAAGCGGTGGTGCTAGTCACAAAATGGCTGCCACAAGTGGTGGTGCTAGTCACAAAATGGCTGCCACAAGCGGTGGTGCTAGTCACAAAATGGCTGCCGCCACTGACCTTCAGGCACACAGTAAAGATGCCTGAGCTGTAATGGCAGCTGCCGCCAAAGCAGCCTTCTTAAAAAATCTGCACAGCTTATCACATCCCCAGTGGCCAGTCAGACGTCTTGCTGGGCAAAAGCCCCACCTGGTAGGCACCAGGGAAAGTGTCAGTGGATGCCATGGTAGGGACCCCTGGTATATAACCAACCCTCCATCCAAAATCTTGGCCAACCTGGAAAGTTCCATTTGCAGGACTCATCTTGGACCTAGCCAGGAGTCGGGACGTCACTGTAGGCGGCAGATAAGATGCAGGCGTCTCGTGGCACTCCTTATGGTTTCCTAGGGGAGCTGTCTCAGTTGGCGCTGACGATTTGCATTTCATTCCAGCCGGCTACTGTGTGATAACGTACATCCTCGGCGTGGGAGACCGACACTTGGATAACCTTTTGCTCACCAAAACAGGTACCGGTTTCACGTTTTCTGTCACCTTCTTTGCATATCTTGTGGTTCGGGATACGAAGATCCTTCTTCGCAACTTGCCCTTTCTGTACTGGAGATCTCATCAAATCGCTTGCCCGTAATATCGTCAGATAACTCTCTTAATTTATCTGTGTATCAAATAGTGACGTGTGCTCCTCTCCCCCAATCTGCGGAGACTTAAATCTGCATATCGTGACCACACCAGGCTCTCGTAGCTAAAGGTTTCCCTTGCTTGAGAGTTAGTCAAATACGACTTTAGGGTTGCGGTGCTCATCTCCGTTTCCAAGCCGAAGAGCCAGTGCTGTCCGAAGACGTCTCTGTGGTCACGTGGCCGGCACGACTAGATGTCGAGGCACACGGAACGCTGTTACCTTCCCACCGAAGCAGTACCTGTTTATCTACTTGCAGTTTCTTGCTTTCGAACGGCTAGGTTGGCAGGAGCCGGGGCCAGAGACGGGAGCTCACTCCGTCACGCGGCACTCGGGTCTCGAACTTCCGAGCTACCGACCTTCCGGTCTGCAGTTCCGCGTCTTAACCACTTGAACCACCACGGTCCCTTAGGCTTGTAGCTACTGTGGGGCTATTTGGAGCTCTGCCCTCTTCCTTAAAGGGCCAGCCCCACAAGATTTGCTTAACAAGTAAAAAAACAATGGGAGCCTCACCAGCCGCACCAGGAAAAAAAAAATTGCCCCACAAGCTACAAAATCCTGGCTATGGGTCTGGACTGCATTAGCGCTAAACATATTTTTCTGCAAACTTGGGGTACTCCCCAGGTTTGCAGAAGATGCAGAAAGTTAAAAAAAATACACACACTGGGGGTTTAAATTCCCCCAGATTCTTTTTTTTAAAAAAAATGTGTCGTCTGCACATGCGCAGACAACGCACTCATCCAGTTGAGCTGTTGGCAGTGGCCACCACCGCAGATGTCCACTCCAGGCCTGGCCGCCATTGAGGAGGAAGCCAGGAGCGGCTACAGGCCATGGCAGCGGACTCCAAGAGCAGCTTGGTGCCCAGCTGCTGCTGTGATGGACGCTGGGAGAGGCTTGAAGCCCAACCTTACTGGTGGAGCACTCTGGGAGCCGCTCCTTGCCTGGCTGCCAGGGCGGAGTGCTGTGGGGGCTACTCTAAACCCGGCCGCACAGTGGAGGACTCGAAGAGAGCCTCTGGGGCCAGCCACGGCAGTGGAGGATACCTGGAGCTGCTCTGGGCTCGGAGAGACTCCCAGATACCACCGCTGTCGCTGCAGGTAGGTGGTGGGGCCTGGAGTCACGATAGGAGAAAGAGATACCCCCCCCCCACCGCAAGTCTCGCGGGTCTCCCACTTGTAAAGAACTGAAAGTAGGAGATATCTTCACTAGGGTTGCCAGCCTCCAGGTGGGGCCTGGAGATCCTCCTGCTTTTACAGCTGTTCTCCAGCTGGCAGAGATCAGCTCCCCTAGAGAAAATGGCTGCTTTGAAGGGGGGACTCCGTGGCATTGGACCATGCTGAGGCCCCTCCCCTCCCCAAACCCCGCCCTCTCCCAGCTCCACCCCCAAAGTCTCCAGGTATTTTCCAACCCGGGCAACCCTAATCTTCACGATTGGCAGATTTTGATCCAGAAATAACCCATTCTCTCACAAGCTGCCAAAAGGTTTATAGGGGTCTGACATTTCCCCTTTAGCTCCCAGCTCTACATTCCTTTCTGAGTATGCAAGTCCTGCTTTGCTGTAACGCTATCTACTCAAGGCCGCAGGTGGAGAGCCGAGGAGCTTCGCTGTGTTTTAATTAGGGGAAGCCGTGGGAATGGTTTTCTTGTTTATTTCTAAGGAACTGTTGCATCTCACGGTTTAGGCGCGAGTGGCACCGAATAGCCGAGCGCGCGGGAACCCTGATTATTGGCTGATGTGATTATGAATTTGCTTTAACCTTCCATGTCCCTTGGATTCATGTTACTCCTAACACTGCTCTTGTACATTTGCTTCATGGCTTCAATAAACGTATAACCTTCTAGTGAGAGTGTACTTCGTTGCAGTCGTGGGGACCTGACACTGTGTTAGCTGTAAATGAAATGATGGCCTAGTCTTTATGCTCTAAAGGTAAAGGTCTCCCTTGGTCGAAAGCCGGTCGAATCCGACTCTAGGGCTGCGGTGCTCGTCTCCGTTTCCAAGCCGAAGAGCCAGCGCTGTCCGAAGACGTTTCCGTGGTCATGTGACCGGCATGACTAAACACCAAGGCGCACGGAACGCTGTTCCCTTCCCACCGAAGTGGTACCTATTTATCTACTTGCAATTTCTTGCTTTCGAACTGCTAGGTTGGCAGGAGCTGGAACTAGAGACGGGAGCTCACTCCGTCATGCGGCACACTCGGGTCTCGAACTGCTGAACTACCGACCTTCCACAGCCTGCAGTTCAGCGTCTTAACCCCTTGAGCCACCGCAGCTCCTCCTTTATGCTCTAATGGGCTCCAAATTTATAATTGGTTCCAGATTCCGGAGATTTCAGCAGAAAGTTTATTCTGTTGAACTCATATCATGTTCTATAGTTCTTGTGTTAATACATTTATCCTAAAGTCTCTTATTTTGCAATATAGTGTTGCTAGATGGACTAAATGGCCTGTACGGCCCCTTCCAACATTGTGATTCCATGATCTTTGGATCTGTTTTAATTGTTTTATGCAATATTTTATGTTGTTTTAATTCTGAACTTTGCCGTGGTTTAAGCTCGAGATCTTTGGTCAAATGAGATAATAAATAAAAGGGAAGAACTGAACGTATCCGGGCCCTGTTGGAAGAGTCCGTTGCCTTGAGCCCTTCACTGGTGAAAGGTGGATTAAAAATGTCCTAAGTCAGGGGTCTCCATCCTTTTTGAGCCTATGGGAACCTTTGGAATTGTGGCACGGCATGTTGGGTGCAACTGCAAAATGGATGCCCAGAAAATGGCTGCTGCCGGAGGCGGAGCCAGCCACACAATGGATTGCTGCAGCTGACCCCCGAGTCACGCAGGGAGGATCCTCACGTTGCGGCAGATGCTGCCGAAGGAACGTTCTTAAAAATCTGCACTGTCAAAACCTCTAGTCGTCATTCAATAGCCTTGCTGGGCGAAAGCCCCATCTGGCCTTGTTCACTTTCTGAAAACGTTTGGCAGGTTCCAGTAAAGGTGTTGGCCAGTTTGGCGTAGTGGTTAAAAGCAGGGAGAACCAGGCTTGATTCCCCACTCCTCCACATGCAGCCAGCTGGGTGATCTTGGGTCAGTCACAGTTCTCTCAGAGCTGCTCTCTCAAACGCAGTTCTCTTAGAGCTCTCTCAGCCCCACCTGCCTCACAGGGTGTCTGTTATGAGGACAGGAAGGGAAAGGAGACTGTAAGCTCCTCTAAGACTCCGAGAGAATGGCAGGGTATAAATCCAATCTCCTCCTTCTCCTCCTCCTCCTCCTTCCTTAAAGCATATTTACTTAATCTGAATTCTACATCTACCACCTCCTTACAATCTGGAGTTGACACATGCTCTCTACTTTGTTTGCATATACCATGTTCCTGGATGACCTTGGGCAAGCCATAGTTCTGTCAGAGCTGTTCTTCAAAAAGAGGAGTTTCTGTCAGAGCTCTCTCAGCCCCACCCGCCTCACAGGGTGTCTAGTGACCCCTGGTATGTAACCAACCCTCCATCCAAAATCTTGGCCAACCTGGAAAGTTCCGTTTGCAGGACTCATCCTGGACCTAGCCAGGAGTCGGGACATCACTGTAGGCAACAGATCAGATGCAGGCGTCTCGTGGCACTTCTTTAGGTTTCCTAGGGAAGCAATGTCCGTTGGCGCTGACGATTTGCATTTCATTCCAGCCGGCTACTGTGTGATAACGTACATCCTCGGCGTGGGAGACCGACACTTGGATAACCTTTTGCTCACCAAAACAGGTACCGGTTTCATGTTTTCTGTCACCTTCTCTGCATATCTTGTGGTTCGGGATACGAAGATCCTTCTTTGCATCTTGCCCTTTCTGTACTGGTAAAAAGTAAAGGTCAAGGCTCCCTTGCTCGAAAGCCAGTCGAGTCCGACTCTAGGGTTGCGGTTAGCCCCACCTACCTCACAGGGTGTCTGTTGTGGGGAGGGGAAGGGAAAGGAGTTTGTAAGCTGCTCTGAGACTCTGAGTGAAGGGCGGGGTATAAATCCAATCTCCTCCTCCTCCTCCTCCTCCTCCTCCTCTTCCTCCTCTTCTATCTCGTCCCATACATATAGCTCTCTCGCACACACCCCGGATAGAACGTGTACACTAGTAATACGCAAGCCTCAAGTTGAGCAGCTGGTCACGCCCGATGGCCCAAATCCTGAGAGCATTTGCAGTGACAACCTGATAGTGCAAGCCTCAAGCTGAGCAGCTGGTCACGCCCAAATCTTGAGAGCATTTGCAGTGACAACCTGATAGTTGCTACAATAGCAATCCCAGCCAATTTTTTAAAAAGCGCGAACTGCCAAGGAGATGGCAGATGAGGAAAGAGAAGGGGAGGTTGGGGTGGGAAATAAACCTCCTAAAACAAATGGATTAACACTCACGTTGTTTCCAAAAGTCCTCACTTGTTCCTTATAAAATAATAGCGCTAACTGATGCTTGGCAAACCCTTTCTGCCCATATTATCACAAAGCAGTTCCAAGATCTGTTAATTATATGTGTGTGTCTCTTTTTTAAAAAAAGAAAAGAAAAGGCTTTCGACAGATTTAGTAGCTATTATACCCTTGACTGCGTTCCAAATACAGAGCGTATTTAAAAACATTTATTAGCGCTAGTTAATTAGATTGATATTGGCCATAATCTCTTCAATACTGAACAAAGAGATGTTTCCCTTTCTTTTGGAATTCTCAACGATGGGTATTAATCAGGCCTTAATTGAGTTCGTCGACGTCCTATAAATAGAGGCTTGGATCCCACGGATCCGTCCTAGCAACGGCGGTGCTTTTACCCCAGTGCAAGAAGCCTGGCGCAAGAGAAACATCTGCAGAACAGCTCCGTT